CTTTAAAATTTACACTTAATCTATTAATAAAGTTTATTGGAGCAAGACTCCGTTGGATATAAAAAAAAAAAAAAAATCTAAAGAGGAAACATAAATTTCATATTTTAATATGAGTTTGAATTAATTATAAGATGATTTATAAAATTTTGAATCATGAAAAGTTTTATTAAATATTTAAAAAATATTTTACAAAATATGGTTAAGAATTGACAGACTTATTTAATAAGGAAATACAGATTTCAATTTTCTATTCATCTTATATGGATCAGCAATTAAATAATTTTTAAGACTTTCATCTTCATTATATTTTAAAACCATTATATATTTGTAAGTTTTTGAATATTTTGTAATTCATCTAATGACATTTTTTAAATTAAAATTAATATTTTATAAATTTTCAAATAAATTTCCATATTAGTTTAATTATTACTTAAAAAACCCTTATTTACATCTACAATACCATCAAACTTTTTTATGATGACCATCTATTCCATCATTGATTTTCAATATCCCAATTGTAAATAGGTCACTAAGCATAATAAATAGTACTATGATCACCTTTTCAATTTGGTTAATGTCTTGAAATCTGTCATAAGGTATTCATTCTATTGCTTCATAATAAACAACATTTGGTTGTGTATTTTGAAGATTTTATTTAATGCATTAATCCTGTTCCTCTTGTCCATTTATCAAATTTATTTTTTAAATGTTTCAAGTTGCACAGTTTGCACCACCAATCATAATAATCATATTCTTCATTATATTAAAGGTATATTTTAAACATTTTCTATTTGGTTATAGTGCAATCACACAAGTTGGAATATTTTTTTTAATTAAAAAAAATTATAAATTTTTGCATTGATAAAATTATATATTTATCATTTATATTTTTAAAACCAGTAAGATTTTTTTTAAAATGATGCAAAAGCATAAACTGATAGTTTATGTGTACTATTTCTTAATTATATTTTTGAATCAGAGTTGATATTTTACACCCCTGAAATTTAGCTACTTTAGAAATTTTCTAGTTATGCTTAATAATAAATCAAACTAAAGATTAATTAAAATACCATTCCAGATAAAAAATTACTGCAATACAAATGTGATATTTTGAATTAAAATTTTTAAAATATTAAATATTTAATAAAAATTAAAATAATAATGGAATAAAAATATTTACAACATTTAGAATTTACTGATTTCATATAAAAAAAAATAAAATAAAAATAAAAATAATTTAAATAATCAGAAACAAAAAAAAAATAAATAAAAATAAAATATATAAAATAATAGATAATTACCAGTAATTATATGTGAGTAATTTAGAAGATTTGAAAATTGAGAAGTCTATTGTAATAAGTTGAGTTGTAGTTGTTGCACCTGTTTTTTACATGAACTTATGATTATTGAGAACTAAATAAAGTAATTGAAAATTATTAAATCATTTAATTATGATGTTTAAATGATTGACTGAATCTAAAATCATAATAATTAAATAATGAATAAAAAATTATGAAATGATAGTATCAGAATAAATAGAGATTGATTTGGTTCCAATACATACTGTATGTTTAATTGAATAATTTAAATAAGTAAAATAAAATTCTAAATTTCAAAAATAAATTAATAAATTTTAGAGAAAATAAAAATAAAAATAAATTTACATTTTTAAAAAAATAGAAAAATTGTCTATAAATTAAAGCACACAACATTTATTTTTCCATATCTGTGGATATGCTATGCTTATTCTTTTCAAATAAAAGAATAAAACGAAAACAACAATAAATAATTAATAAATAATGAAGAATAATGATATTATTTGATATACCAAGAATTTAATTATTTGCAAAATAGAATTTATATTATAGCTTGGAAAATGATATTCATAAGCACTAGAACATTATGCATAGTGATTTTTTAATTTCCAAAGAAATTGCTCTTGCTTAAAAGTTTTTAACAAACAAAGATGTCCAGTCAAAATACAATATAAATTTATACTTAATAAACTTAGAATATTTAAATTTATAATTACTAAACTTAGAATATTATTAATACAGATATTTTGCCTCTAAAGTTCAAAGTAACTTCTCCAAGATATTATTTACTTTATGTGCAACCATTATTATGCTATTAACTCATATTCCATATAGAAAAATTAAAGAATATTATAAAATCAAATAATTAGAAAAAGATATATGTATTTGCTTCTCAATAGGTTAGAAACAAATATATGTTGTTGGTTATACTATAACTATACATATACTTCTTAATAAGTTAGAACAAATATAAGTGGTTATACATTTTATGATTTAATTCAAACTAAATAAATAAGAAAAATAAATAGAAGTTTACACACACTAGCATATGCTATAAATGAGAGAATAATTGTGCTATAATTTAGGTTTCTTCTTGATCTAGGTGACTTTTTCAAAATATAAAGCATTTAATTTTATAATCCATGATTTAAAAAAGAAATAATAATTATAAATTAATTTTGCTTAGAAATATATCTGCCACCCAAATTCAAAATCCAAATGCCAAAATTCCAAATGCCAAAATCCCAAATCCCAAATTATGATTAGTATTTTTTGCTTAAATCCCAAATACTAGTAATTTGGGATTTTGGTGTCCCAAATCCCAAATGATTTGGGATTTGGGCAACACGTATACTTAGAAAACAATTCAAACACCACCACAATTATGACAAACAAAGAAAAATCAAAATTGCATAATTTTTTTTAAATGAATAGTCTTAAAGTTTTGTTTTCATATTCAAAGAATAATCATTTTAAAGATAGATCTGTCTCATAAAAAGATTATTTAAAATGGATTAAGACTATGAAGGAATACATTATAGTTAGACAACTCAGAATGCAAATTCAAAATAGAAGGTAGCATTGAACCATATGAAGTAAAATCATTTGCTAGTTTTTTAATCAGTAAATCAGAAGACAAAATTGAATGATTATTACAAATTGCATATCTTATAGCAAAGGTTTATGTGAAGTTTTTCAAGGAATGCAAATTGTGATAAATTATAAATCTTAAATCTTGTAACTGGTAAAGAAATTAGACAATTATGGCTTTTTAAATTTAGATTGTCAGAAAAACTACATTATAATTTTGTGCACTTACTTAAAGTGCAATAAGATATTGCATAGCTTTTTCAACATTGAAAGCTTATTTATTCTAGATTTTTTCCAATGTCTGAATTGTGTGAATAGGAATGTGGGATGGTGTTGGATATTTGACTCTCATGAACAATTGACAGATGCTTCAAAAATCTCAGGATTTCCTTCTTTCCATAAAAAGTTTATGAGAAATAGATAAAGGTATACATTTTACAGTTAGGCAACTCAGTATTATAAGTCTATGACAGCAAAAAATACTAGACAATAATTCTGAAAATAATGATAGTAATACTATTAATTTATAGTTAGATTTTGCCTTCAATCAAGTACCAATGTCTAGAAATGAGTTATAATTTAAAACAGAAAATGGCATGGATAATTTTTAAAACACTGATACAATTTTTAATAGAAATACTAAAAAGATGATGATTCATGTCCATTAACACATATAATTGTCACAATGACTTTATAATATGTAAATTCTTGCTCAAAGAGAAAGGCATGAAAGTTTATAAATTGTTTTCAAAAATATACAATTAATTCAATAAATATTTTAAAAAGATGTAAGTGTCAATATGTCAAAAAAAAGACGAGATTAAGGTGATAACATTTCAAAAATAATGTCATAACTCTAGTTAAGATAGTAATTAGAATTCTCTAAGACAAAATTGCAAGTTTTCAGAAGAGCCACAAACAAAAGAAACAACTGTCAAGGCATTTTATCTTCACCAAAAATGAGTAATTTCTTCTTTTATCCTAAATAATAATGTAATTGGAACCATAAATTTCAAAAATTTACTTTTCTCTATTAATTTATAATTTAAAGAAATCAAAAATGAAAATACTTATCAAATATGATTTATTCCAAACATGCATATCTTTTTTCTGCACCAAATACATTAAGAGTTCTTCTTATTATATAATAATTGAGATGAAAATCTCTGCCAAAAGAACTTTCACCATTATTTTTCTAATTGACTTCATCTTCCAATTACCCTGATCCACATTGATGCTCTATTCAAAATATCATTTTTTATATGGATATATTTTAAAAAAGGAGAGATATATATCAATGAAAGCATACATATACATCATAGCAAAACACATTATGATAATTATTTAATTCAATTTATTATAGTCTTTGATTTAAAAGTTTGCTTTAAATTCCCAAAAGAATTTTATAAAAATTATCATATAGATAATATAATTTAAATTTATATATTTCTTTTTTATTCATTCACTTTAAATATTATTAATTTTTAGTCAAAGAAAAGCTTTTACTTGTCAAGGAAAAAGATAAAAACTTTCATTCACATTTCAAACATAGTTTGGATTGATAAAATCAATTTATTTAAATATTTCACTTACCATTTTTCTAATACATAATAAACAAATGATGATTTCACAAAATATGTTAATTTAAAAAATTGAAATACTTGAAGTTATAGTGCCACTATTGATTTATATTCTAGTGCAGTCTTTATTAAAAGATAATTAGAAAATCAATATAAAAAATTTTATAACAATAGAGAGAATTTTTTACAAAATGAAAAAAGTAATATCACTCATGATAAAACCAAAAGAGTTTCAATACTTTCTTTTAAATGATAAAAACATTAAAAAACTGCAAACAATTGGAATAAAAATTGATTTTAACTCTTTGACCATGGGAGTTAGCTATTAGAGTCAAATAATGGATTAGTACATGCAGTTCATATCTCATTTGCCACAAATGTCCCTTCGCCTAATACACATAATAATGAAGAGAGACCAAGAAAAAGACCAGGTTATGTATTATCTCCTGTTTGTTAATAAATTTTTTTTTGTTTTATTTAAATTCAATAACAAATAATCTTATTTTATTATCATAATAATTACAAGTAATAAATATATATATATTATTATCTTGCAAATAAATTAGAATTAATTCTAGATTCTGAATACAGTTATTAATTCTTATATTCAATGAACTAGTTTTTCTTAAGTCATTCAATTTTAAGCAAGCAAGAAAAACTTATTACCAAGTATTAAAAGTTATGACAAATAATCTAATGATACCTGCCATAATTCAAAAGAAAGAATTGCAACTCTCATATAGAATAGTGCAGATATATTTATAAGGAGATGCATACTCTCAAAATTTCAAAAAATACTAGAGTAAAAAAATAATTTATGCCCTTGAACCTATATCACCAGTGTCTATAAAGACATCATCAAAAAAAATTTCAAATAATATGCTTTTTTCATCAATTAATACAAAAAATAATTTTATTAAGGTGTTTTAACTTTTTTTTTTTGTTATTAAAGGCCTGCAGGTTCTAGAGGAGGAATCAAATATGTACTTATCCTTTAATTCTATTAAACACAAAAAATATGGATTAATTTTTTTTACAGGCAATTTTGCTTTTGCCTATTTATAAAGGTCCACCAATTCTAGAGGAGAAATTGAATATATGTCTATCCTCTATCCATCATTATTATATAATAAAAAAAAGAAGCAATTATAACTTTGGTTAGAATTATGCTTTTAATAATTTGAAATTTTTTATGGCATGGAAATGTCCATAATTATTTCAAAAAGCAGAAAGTTAAATTCTTTAATCTGAATTTTCTTTCCCTTTTCCTTTATATCAAATTAAAGTAAATATTATAACTCAATTCAATTAATATTAGAAATTTATTAATTGTTTCTCACTTCAATAGAATGCTTATGTAAATGAAAAGTTAGTTTATAATTTATATGTATATGTATAGCCTTATTAGATTTTATTTATAATCTAATTTTTGTCTCTTTTATGCAAAAGACTATAAAGACCTATTCCATCATAGAAAAAAGTATGTATATGTATATTATAGTTATTCTTAAAATATTTTCATAATTATATTAAGAAGGAGAAGAATTCTATAACCTGAACCTTCTTTCCCATATCTTTTACATAAAGTTATCAAAATATATTTATATAGATATTGTTACTGTTATAGAAATGTCATAAAATTCTAGTTTAGCTTATGCAATCTTTTTTAAAAAAGAAAATCTAAGCTCAATCTTAAATTTATTTACTAAAAAATTAATTAAACTATTTTATATTAAATTAAAATTTTACTAGTTTTCTACTCAGCAATGAAAATTATACTTTTGAATAGATAAAAAGCAAATCAATTATTTAAATATACAAAAAGCTCAATCTTATGACTATTTATTTTGAGAAATATTTATTTCAAAATATATTTCAAAAAGTGCATATTAAGTGATCATTCACTTTCCAAAGAGACATTATTTGTCCCAGATAGTAATTTACATAAAATATATATATATAGTATAGTATAATCTTCTATGGAAAATATATAATTTTAAGTATTTAAACATTGGGTATGCTATCAAATTTATGCTTTTACATACTTTATCAAAGAAAAATGCAAAGCCAACATAAGTGTTAAAAAAGTAATTCTCAGTGTAATGATTATTTGTATCATTAATGAAATGAATTAATAGGGTTTGATCAAATAATAAAGTTTATTAGATTAGAGATTAGTGATTTTGTAACTTTCTCATTAATAGATCTAGTTTAATTTAAATAAATTAATATGGAAAATTCCATATTATAAATGAGTTGTTTGCAACAGGTTTAACAGTGTATTTTAATGTCAAGCCATCTTCAACCACTAGTCAAATACAAAAGAATCACTGTACCAAATGGTAATTCTTATATTATAGATTAGCTAAAAATTGAAATTCTTATATTTATAGACCAGTTGAAATTGACCATCCTATTGCATCCTATATTATAAATCAGCTAAAATAAGAATTCTTTTCAGTACACCTATTCATTTGTGTTTGACTTGTGAACTATAATTAAGTTGGTCCAGGAATATTGTTTTCCAATTGTGAACTTAGCTTTGCTTGGTTTTTTAGACTTTAAAATTACAAAGATTTTTTTTATTATTATAAAAATATTAAGTAAGATGTAAATGTAACCAAGAGAAAAGATGCAATTCTAACTGAGAATATATTATTTTTTGACTTCTCCTAAAAATGAAAATCTCAATAAGGTCTATTTAAATAATTTTGACTAGATAAATCTATACATTATTTTGAATTATGTTAGTTTCAAGCAGCATATATACAAATTTTTTAGGTCTTCCATCAAATTTTTTCATAAGTTGTAATAAATTAGATACCTATGAATAAGGTAACCAATTTATAGTAATAATAAAATCTTACCTCACTTTAATTCATAATATAATTACTCATTCCCCAACAGCATTTGAAATTCAATGTGTGGAATGTGCACTTTCACAAAATTTGAAAACTCTACACATAAAAAAGCATCTGCAAAATTTTTGCATATAGAATTCTAAATTGTGTTTCAAACACTATTCTTTAATTAAATTCTCATGATTAGAATATTGATAATATTTATAGATTGCCAAAATTTCAAACTCAGATTAATTTGTAAATTAAAATAAAATGTAGTCAAATATTAAACAAAATATCTATATATAGTTAAATCAGATAAATATAGTATAGAATAAGAAATTAAGTATGTCTGATTGAATTCACATTATAAAATATGATGACACTGAAGAGATGATAAAACTTAAGGATCAAACAAAATTCCATTGAAAGTATTGGTTGAGATTTATTGTCTATTTTAACTAATATCTTATATTGCAGAACTTGATACAAATTATAATAATAAAGAGCCCTAATGGCTAAGAGCTGAATAATACATATTGCAACTACAATTTTAAATTGAAAATTATTTACCAAACATGATTTAGTTTATAATTTTTTTTATTTAGATAAAAGAATTGTTTTAATTATTAATTATTACTTTGAAATAAATATTATTTGATCATATTAATTTCTAGTTCAACATGCAAATGCAAAATGAGTAGTTAACAACTATGAAAAACTTCTGTAGTTGTATCATTAAAAAAATGCACATGACTAATTTTAGCTAAACTAAGCAGAAATTAATCACAATAAAAAATAATTAAGTTGAAACTTCAGCACTTAAATTTAAGACATTACTAACTATACTATATTTGCATTGTATAAGATTTTCTGTCTAATATTCACTAGTTAAATACAAAAGAATAACTGTACTGAATGGTAATTCCTATACTATAGATCAGTTAAAAATCAGTAACAATCAACTGTCCTATTGTATCCTATATTATAACTTAGCTAAAATCAGAATTCGTTTTCATTACAGCATATCTTTTGTATCTGACCTGTGATTAATGTATTGATATATGGTATACCAGATCTTTATTAAAGCATATATAAAGTTATAAAAAATGACAACTAAAAATTCAAAATCATACCATACTACATTGTTTATATAAATTTTCTGTCTATATAGAAGTCATTTTCTGAATTTAAGATCCTCCACACTTATTACTTTTTTATCCAATTTTTGCATTGGATTTTAAATGAGATTTTTGTTTTCTTTTAGAAAATTCAATCACAACACAAAAATTTCAAAGAACCATATATAATATTGAATAAAGACTGCTTAAATGAACAGTTAAATAGATAAAAAAAAAGTATGTGTACATATATAGCAATGTATTTTTATAATTATTTAAGAGTCATCCTTCACTCCATTTCTATGAAAATGTATACCAATTTTAAGTATTTAAAAATGAGGTAGACTATACTTGCACGTAAAATTATTTGGGGTCCCAAAATTACAATTTCGGGAAAAAAAGTTGAAATAGTTTTTCATAGAAGACAAAATTATTTTACTTAAAAACCAAAATTTTTTGACCACCCAGATTTATTCTTTGATTAAAGATACATATAACTAGGTACTTTTTTTACTTCCATATATAGAATAGATTTTGCATAAATCTCAAAAAGTCAAAATACCTCAAAAATCCAAAATCAATTTTGGAAACATGTATAAGGTAGACTACAAAATACATACATATAAGATGATTACACTATATCAGCATACTTTATCAAAAACAAGAAAAGTATAGTCATATTTCTAGCTTTATCAAAAAAAAAAAGAAACCACAAAGTGCAGATTATATTTTTTCTCATTTTTCTAAAGTGAAATCCTTATTATAATGAATATAGGTTAGAGTTATGATATTACATGTGATTTTATTTTAATAAATTGAAATGAAACCTTCCTATAGAATGTTGCTACCTGATGGATGAACCCATTAAGCTTTAAATATATTTATATTATTCATGTATTTATAATTATTTATGGGTCACATTCCCCTTCTTTTAATCTGTGTAAAATATAGAAATATTCAAAAATTAGATATGCTATTATTAAGCAAGCACCTTTAAGAAATTCAGGTTGGCAACAATTATTATAATGTTGTAAATAGCAACAGAAGCAAAAAAATAATGTCATAAAGATATGATAAACTCATTATTTAGTACAAATATGCAAAAAAATTATAATCAAGATAATTTTATCAAAAACAAGAGGAAACTAAGTTTATTTTCTTATTTTATCAAAGTTAGATTAGAGTTTATAATATTACTTTCAGTTTCCTAGTTTTATTTTAATAGATCAATATGAAACATTCAAATAAATGATTCTATTTGCTACCTGAAGGATATATACACTAAACTTTTACTTTAATATAAAATCAATAATCTGCCCTTATTGAACATTTGAAGATAGCAGCAATCATTATATTCTGTAGGTAGTTTTTAAAAAATTTAAAATTACAATGACTAATTATTATATATAGAATATTAAGCAAGGAGATTTCTATAAATTTCTTGCTAAATAATCTTTGTAATTAAGATTTTAAAATTTCAAATATTGACTTGAAGATTCTTTTATGGAAAGCATCTTTTTGTAAACTACAACTTGGAACTTCTCACTTTTAGTGAAAGCATCTTTCAGGTAGATTGATCTGTGCCCACTTGATTTTTTAGATTTACTTTTTCTAGAATCAAAGTGTATATCTATCTAACAAGAAATATCTTTTTAATCCTCTGTCTTCTTTTTGAATGCATAGGTCAGAACTTGACATAATAATGATCTTGTATTTTACAACAGAGAGTTATGTCAAAATCACTTTCTTGAGATAAAAATTCTGATGATAGTATTTTAAAATCTGTGAATAATTATGAAGATGAAAGCAATCTTGAGTACATCAAAAGCCTATATTAGAATTTGTTGATAATAAAATTTTTATTTTGTAATTTTGAATTGTGAAGTACAATAAATTTTAGATAGGTACAAAAATATACACATTAAAATGTTACACCACATTAATATATATACTTTGTCAAAAACATGAAGAAGCCAAATCTGTTAAATTTCAAAAAGACAAAAGTAACAGATAAACATATCATATACATATAATAAATATAGTATAGAATAAGAAAAGAAATATATCTGATTTTAATTTACTTTACAAATAGCAGATATTATAAACTTAAGTAATATTTATATCACAGAATGAGATAATATACTTAAGGAATATTTACATCAATGTACTACTAATTTAAATTTGTTTATTTTTTAATTATTCACTTTGAAATAAATATCAGCCTCAATTTCTTATTCAACTAGATACAAACACAACATAAAAATAAGTAGTTATTAATTGTTTGAATTTCAACCTAGTAATAACAGATAAACTATAATAATAAAAATTTCCACTAACATGCAGACAGAGCAGAAAAGAAATAAAATACTATACAAAATTAATAATAAAAAATTCACAAAGTATGATTAACTTGTATTCAAAGACTTTTTCTACTTGATCTATTATAATTTGCAAACAACACAAAGTAACAGAATATTAGCTTAAAAAGATTTTAATCAGATTATTATTTTATGTTCAAAGATAATATTGATTACCATTGACTTGCTGAGTCTACATTTGATAATTTATCAATTATCAGTAACAGACAGCAGTTAATACAAATAAGTCATTTTTATAATTCAAATTATATATGTTCCCAAAATTAATTTTGGATTTTTGAGATATTTCGACTTTTTGAGATTTATGCAAAATCTATTCTATATATGGAAGTAAAAAAAGTATCTAGTTATATGTATCTTTAATCAAAGAATAAATCTGGGTGGTCAAAAAATTTGCGGTTTTAAGTAAAATAATTTCGTCTTCTATGAAAAACTATTTCGACTTTTTTCCCCAAAATTGCAATTTCGGGACCCCAAAATAATTTTGCATGCAAGTATAATTCAAATAGTATAAATATGATAGGCTATCTCAAAGAGAATAGATGATAACAAAGATCTGATTCAATTTGTTCACAACACTACAAAATTGCATATTATTGTGTACAATTTATACATTCATATTATAATTGAATTTGTTATCCTTTAAAGTATTTTCTAATTCATTAGAATTAGATAAATTCTTGATTAATATATTATAAAGCATTTATAAGAATTCAAGAATATCAGAAACAACAAACAACAGATAGTAGTTATAATTATTTTTGATGATTCCTTTAGTGAAAAAAAGAAAAAAACAAACATATATATAAGTTAATATATTTAAATAAAAATAAAAAAATATAAAATAACAAAATGAAGAATATTAAATAACATGTTGGTTTCTTACCTTTCACTTCTGTACTTACTTCATTATACACTTCTTTTACTTCTTACTTACTACTGTACATAACATACACACACAAATGTAGTTTATAATTTTGAAAAAAATTTTCTTAACAAAGAAAAAAAATTCTTAATAATTTACTTCTATATCATCATAATTAAAAGCATTTATTTCTATAATTTTTTCTTGAAACAATTATTTCCAAAGACTACCACCACAACCAATGTTTCTATTTTCTAATATAGTAGTTAAATCACTATCATCAAATCCTGATCCAAAAACAGTTCTATAAATAGGCTCATGAGCATGTTTCCTTAGCACTCAACTAATGATAGAAGATTTATAATAAGAATTATAAATTTATCACATGATTATTCAAGATTGAACAGATAAATTCTTTTGAAAATTGACAACAAATTATTGAAATGTGCAGTTCAATCACTGGTGACATAATTCATATATTTCAGATTTTGAACCAAGTAAGATAATTGGAAAAATTGTTAAAGAATTATTTTTGGCAGTATTATATTATAAAATTTTTGATCTACTAGATGGGAATGAATATACAAAGGCTACTGATATTTATTCATCTTTAATAATTACTTATGAACAGTTACTAGATTGCCACTGAATTCTAATTGTACCACTTGATAATGATTTGGCTTTGAAAACGTGTAATGGTTTATGACTAAAAATAAATTTCACACTTCTAAATTAATTACTAGATCTATCATGAAAGTTGTGATGCTCATTGCAAAAAAGTTAGATACTGGTGGTGAAATTACAAGTCAAATTAAAAAAACCAAACAACAATTACAACCCCACTAATTACAAAGTCATCCACAAGCAATTTGTACTGTCATCCTCTCAATTTTCAAATATTTCAAACCTGTAAATTAATCAAATTTTGAAAAAGAACTTAAAAATTTACAGAATGGTTTTCTCATATAATTACAATCAATAGTAGGTACTAAAATTATATTATATTTTATTTATTTTATTTCCTGATTAATTATATTAATTTATTTTATTTTATATTTATTTAGTTTAGGTGATGATATTAGATATTTTTATATATTGACTAGTTCGAGGGTGACACTTTGTGCCACCATCTTATTTTAGATTTCACTATGTGTTGTGAGATAGTACAAATGTATGATCATCTGAACAGTTTTAATTAGCCATTCAAAGGCAGTTTACTTTAACTAATGTATGGAAATTATTTCACAAATTTATGAATGTAAATGGAATTGTAAAAAAATTTGTGAGTATTTGTAATTAAAGAAAATTCATCTTTCAATCTGTTTGTAAGCTAACTTAACAAAACAAATATTCAAATAATTTTATACCTTCTGAACCATTTTAATTAGTTGCTCAAAGGCAGTTTACTTTAACCAGTATATTGAAATTATGCCACAAATTTCTGGATGTAAAATGGAACTGTAAAAAAAATTCATCTTTCAATCCATTTGTAAGCCAGTTTAGAAACAAACATTCAATTACTTTCATACCTTCTGAACAGTTTTGATTAGGCGCTCAAAGGCAGTTACTTTGACCAATATATTAGAGTTACAAAGTGCAAAAAATTTGTGAATATAATCAATTAAAGAAAGATTCATATTTCAATCTGTTTGCAAGCTAGCTTAGCAAAAAAAAATATTCAAATACTTTTATACCTTCTAAACAGTTTTAATTAGTAGCCCAAAGGCAGTTGTTTTGATCAATAAATTAGAGTTATATCACAATTTTCTGGAAGTGTGAGTATTTGTAATTAAAGAAAAATCCATATTCAATCTGGTTGTAAGCCAGCCTAGTGAAAAAAAAACTCAATTGCTTTCATAACTTCCAAACCATTTTGATTAGTTACTCAAAGGTAGTTTTCTTTGACCAATGTATAAAAATTATTCCTTAATTTTTGAAACTGTAAAAAATTTGTGAGTATTTGTAATTAAAGAAGAATTCATATTTCAATCTGTTTGTAAGCCAGCCCAATGAAAAGAAATACTCAATTACTTTTATACCTTCCGAATGGTTTTAATTAGTTTCTCAAAGGTAGATTGTAACTTAAATTTTTGGATGTAAAATTAAACTGTAAAAAATTCATGTGCATTTATAATTAAAGAAAAAATAATCTTTCAATCTGTTGTAAGCTAGCTTAATAAAAACAAATATTCAACTCTTTCATTCTGAATAGTTTTAATTAGTCATTCAAAGACAGTTACTTTTCCAATATATTAGAGTTACAGCACAAAGTTCTGAAGTATAAAAAAATTTGTGAGTATTTGCAATTAAAGAAAAATTCATCTTGCCTAGTGGAAAAAATATTCAATTAATTTCATACCTTCTGAAAAAGTTTAATTAGTTGCTCAAAGGTAGTTTACTTTGACCAATGTATTAAAATTAGGACTTAAATTTTGGATATAAAATGAAACTTAAAAAAATTTGTGCTTATTTGTAATTAAAGAAAAAATAATTGAACAATCCATTTTTAAGCCAGCTTAGCAAAAACATTTGTTTTATTTCAAAGTAAATTGTGATTTTTCACTATACAAAAAAATATTTATATTTTTCAAGAATAATACTTAAATTCTTTTTATATCTTCAGAACTTTATAACTTTAACACTTTTATCAAATTAAACTACCTTTGAGCAACTATTAAACTGTTCAGAAGGTATGAAAGTAATTGAATAAATAAAATTCATTTTAATAATAAAAAATAAATAACAATTAATTAAATTAGATAATCCTTATTATTAATAATCCATTAAAAATTTTTTACTAATTTATTAAAAATTTATTAGAAATGATCATCACAAATTAAAATGTTTAAATTTCTTGTCATGATATAATCAAAGCAAATTTAATTTTAATTATAATCACCTCCTTCTTCTTTGTTAAGTCAAAAAGGGAATTAGATTCTTTGCATTTATTTTGCAATCCTTTGATTTGGGAAATTTTTATTGTATTTAACAAGTGGTCTAGATTAGAGGTGCTTTGTGATTATGATATTTAAATTAAATTCTATTTCTTCAAATATCCTGCTTTTGAAAGATTATTTTAAAAGCAAAGCTATCTTTATATTACATTTGTGCAAAATATTGAAGAACAAAAATCATAAACCAGATAGGTGTTTAATTTATATACAATTTTTCAATAAATTTTTAATATTCACCAATCCAATTGTGCTAAGTGCTGAAGACTGATTTCAACTTTCCATATCTATACTGAATATTTAAAACAGAAAATTTCATTTGAGTTTTGATAATTTAATGAAAATTAAATTTATGTAAAAATTCAAAAATTATGAAAAGATATAATCATTAAACAGAATATTTCATATATTGAACAAAAATTTTAAATATAATAAAAATTCTGAAAATAAATTTATTATTAATGATTAAAAAGTCTACACTTGATATAGAAACCATTTATATTTGTCTGGAAAATATTAGATAGTTTAAGTCATCTCTGACTAAATAATTAAAAAAATTATTTATTGATAATAAACTTTGAAAGTTTAATTAGAAATTTATTTATATGATATTAAATATTTATCTCCCATTTAAATTATTTAGATTTCTTTTTGTGCTTATTATTAATTATTTCAATTTTACATTAGACACCTATATACTTGATGGTGTTTCTATTACTTGAAGAATATACAAATGAGAAATGTGATCTGGAGTTAGAAGTATATTTTTATTATTTTTATTATATATGTGGATTTCAAATATTGACACTCACTATATCATCTGATATTGGAATGATTATTATTACTTCTTGTTCAATTATTACTCCTAATTTTACAAAAGTAATCAAAAGCTTTAGATATTAGTCTTTGGAAAGAATAGGAATAGATATAAAGTTTTGATTTTTTGTATTTCTACTGTAATTTTTATTTTTCTTAATTTAAAAAAAAAATATTCTCAAAAGTGCTAACAGCAAATAAAATTCAAAAATTAAAACAAACACATGTTTTATAAATTGGGATAATAAAAACTTGATTATAATTGTTGGAAGATTATCTTCAGCATTCTTAAAATAAGAGTGATGATATTTTATAAATTAAAATATTAAAGAGTTAATCTAATTGAGATAATAAATTATGATGGTATAGATTTTAGTGCTAATGTTTTTCCTATTTTGTTTGAATCATGTTGACATCATGTGTGGAAATTCGCAATGTAAGTGGTGAATCCCGTGAAGTTCCAGGAAAAAGATAATCAAAACACTTGCTCATGATATTCTTTTTTAACAAGATTTTCTTGCACGGTGTTAGCCTTATTTCTTAATTTTTTATATATATTATTTATTAACATTATTATATTAATTTATTAGCTAGATTTCTTTATTTGTATAACATTATATATTAGTACTATTATTTATGAGTAACAGATGTAGATCATTTTTATTATGACGTGAAGTTGACACCTCTAGTTGACACCTTTGGTTAAATCTCTAGTTGTCACCTTTGGTAAACACCTCTAGCACAAATAACTCATTAGCAAAAATAGCTCATAGAACCTCCTAGAATGTTATGGAAATTTCTGGAGCTTTCTTGAGATTAGTAATTATAGTCTCATGAAAAAATGATAATTTTGTATAAATAGAGGTAACTTTTGTCCTTAGAGTTAAGACAGTTAGAACTAGAATACATTTTGAACTTGATATATGTAATAAATTATTAATAAAAGTCTTTGTAACAAATAATAATTTGAAACCTTTGATTTCTTAGCGAAATACTTTTTGATAAACAATACCCTGCTTTGTAATCTCGGTATTATTTTGACTATAATTAACCCTGCTTCATGATCTCAGTTAATTATAATAATTCTGTGTGAATTCTTGTAGTTTCTGTGTGAAACTAATAATATTCTATGTGAATATTTGTTGACTTAGTATAAAAAACCTTATATCTCTTTAAAATCCTTACACCTTAGCCTCTTTCAAACAAACTCGCAACATCAAATCCTTTACACCTTATACCTCTTCAAGTATAAAACACTCCAGTAGTAATCTCATATGAAATTATTATTCAAAATAAGAATTTTTCTGATAAAATACATAATTAAGATTATAACAGTTTCGACTATATCATAGCTTACGTAGTTAACGAGTGACAGCTATTACCTATTTCATTTATTTTATTTTACTTTTATTTTATTATTTTATTTTCTATTTTATTATTTATATTTTTATCTTTA